GGTCTTGCTTCAAATACCAGACTCGACTTTCTAAACAACTGTGGTACTTTTCCTTGAAGAGATGTTTTGTCATTGGCTGTCTGCCCAGAGGACCTTTTCCAGAGTCCTGAAATGGTTGGTTGTTTTTCCATTTTCATTTTTTTCATGAATAATTTTCACCAGTTCCACTGGGGAGCGAAACAAGGAAGTTCTCTGTTGCTATAGTTACTGCCATTAGCATAGCTGGGTGTTAGGCTATTCTCAGAAAACTAACATTGCTACAGACAAGCCTTTCAACAATTCTGAGGGGGATAAGAGCCGCTGCTTGTCATAACAGCTGCTAAGAATAACAGAGAACAAAATGAATAAATGGTAAGTGCCTGACTTAATTTTTTATGAGGTATGTCTCAAGACTTGCAAAATAACTTGGATGACAAAGGAAAAATACAATGATTAACTCTGAATTTGTAATTCGACTATAGAGAGAGAAGACTTCTGGGAGCAAATGTGTGATTTCAATGCATTCCAGGACCACCACAACCATACGAGACCCCAAGAATCCAGAACATAGGAAGACATTTACTTTTGACCTGGCATATTGGTCTCACGATGGATTTCAAAAGGATCAAGATGGTGTGTTTATTTCAGCTGATCCTAGCAGTCAATTTGCAAGCCAGGTAAATTGCTTTAAAACACAACTCAAAAGGAAAGGTGTTTTGTTTTTTTTTTTAAATGAAGTGTTAACAGTAGAACAGTACAATTTTTTAATGCAAGCATGCTATGATATATACTTCCATTTGAGAGTTTGCTTTTAAATGTATTCCTTTTTCATGTTAAACATGAGGTCCCAAAGTACAGCTATTGCCTAAATAATTTTTAGGAACTCAAATCAATTGATTTGCCAATATACTGCCATATTTTGAAAAAGAAGTGTCAGTCAAATCAATTATATTTTGCCTCTCTGAAATAAGCAAAATTTGTGACACACACAGCCTTTGAGAACTCTTGTTTTATCAAGTATTTGTCACGTGCCAAGCATTATTCCATCTTAAAGTTGCCTACAACTTGGTATGGGGGGACAGGCAAGTAAGTGCATTCAGAAATGTTCCATGTTCTGGGATAAGAATACAGGAAATGATGAAGTACAGTGGAGAGAAGGTCGTTGCAATCTGGACAAAGCTCATTAAGTTTCTTGGATCTGGGTGTGTATAGTTGCAATAAAATTTGGAAAAATTTCAATCATCATTTCTTCAAATATCTTTTGCCCGTTCCCCATCTTATTCCCTCTGTGATTCCAACCGAGCTTGTCCCACAGGTCACTGAGGTTCTGTTCATTTCCCCCAAAACTTTTCTCTCTATTCTTCTTGTCTGCCTATTTGTCTTCCAAACTCAGCTGAAAACTTACAGCTTTTATTAAACCACTCCTAAAAATACCCCCTGTCAAATAGTTCTGACTTCACAAACTCACTAAAAGGATCTCACGGACCCTGGAATGCATTTTGAGAACCACCGTCCCAGAGTAATCAATTTAAAAAATCAAACAAGGGCGCCTGGGTGGCTCAGTTGGTTAAGCGACTGCCTTCGGCTCAGGTCATGATCCTGGAGTCCCGGGATCGAGTCCCGCATCGGGCTCCCTGCTCAGTGGGGAGTCTGCTTCTCCCTCCGACCCTCTTCCCTCTCGTGCTCTCTCTTTCTCATTCTCTCTCTCTCAAATAAATAAAATCTTAAAAAAAAAATAAAAAATCAAACAAAATTGTAACTCATCAGTCAATTGTGGGGAAATGGGATTAGGAAGCACTCAATCCAAAGCACAGCAGGAAAAGACGGGAGAAGTAGAATACAAATAGCGAGCTGGTAAATTTCATGTCAGCCACGTCAGTTAGTACAGCAAATGTAAATAGACGTGCCAACTACAAGTCAGAAATGATCAGATATCATCGGAAAAGCATGACCCAACTCTGTCTGTCTAGGAAACCCAATTTAAATATGGACACTACCATGTAAACCCTATGAAAAAAAAAAACTACAGAGGCCATATTTACATCACATAAAGTAGAATTCAGCACGAGAAACATTCCATAATGATAATTTATTAAGGAAACATACCATCCTAAATGAGATAATAATAGAACTTCAAAGTACATGAAGCAGAAACTGCTAGAAATTGAGGAAGAAATAGACAGATCTACAACTGTCATTAGTGATTTCATCACTCCTCTCTGAGTAATGGATAGAGCAAATAATCAGTACTATACAGAAGACTAGATCCACACCATCAGCCTAATTGACCACTGTGTAATAGAGAACACTTTTGCTACCCACCACCCAACCACAGCACAACACATCCTTTATATGTGACCATGAAACTTCCATTACGATAGACCATATTCCAGGTCATAAAACTAGTCTCAATAATGTGAGATAACTGAAATCATACAAAGTATGTTCTCTGACCACCAAACTAGAAAGAAATGAAAGATCTTAGGAAAATCCACAAATATTTAGAAAATAACAGACTTCTAAATAATCCATAGGTCAAGGAATAAACCATAAACAAAATTAGTAAATACTGTGAATAAGAAATTTAGGGGAGCCTGGGCAGCTCAGTTGGTGAAGCGTCTGCCTTTGGCTTGGGTCATGATCTCAGGGTCCTGGGATTGAGCCCCGCCTCAGGCTCCCTGCTCAACGGGGAGTCTGCTTCTCCCTCTCCCCGCCCCCATACTCTCTCTCTCTCTCAAATAAATAAATAAAATCTTAAAAACAAAAATTTAAAAATTTACCAAAATTTGTGGGCCACAGCTAAAGGTGAGGCTTAGAGAAATTATAAAGCATTAAGTTATTAGAGAAGCACAGTCTCAAGTCAACATTCTAGTCTTCCACCTAAGAATTTAGAAAAAGAAGAGCAAATTCAACACAAAGCAAGCAGAGGAAGAAATAAAGAACAGTAATTAATGCAAAATAGTAAAATAATAGGAAAATCGATGAAACTCAAGCTAAATTCTTTCAAAAGATTAATGAAATTGAACCTCTAGCCAAACCAATCAGGAAAAAAAGATACAAAGTACCAAAATGAGAAATGAGCCATCACAGCAGAATTTATAAACATTTAAAAAAAACAAAAAAACAATAAATAAATAAATAAGGAAAATAAATAAATAAAATAAATAAAAAAATGGAAAAAATTTTATGAAAAATTTATTGCTGATACATTCAACAGGTTAGATGAAATGACACAGCTATTGAAGGTCACACCAAAACAGAGATAATTCAAGTAGCCCAAAAAAAGTTGAATTTATAGTTAAAAACCTTCTCACAAAGAAAACTCTAGGCCCAGATGCCTTTGCTGTGAATTCTACCAAAGGAAGAAATAATGAGAATTCTTTAAAAAAAAAAAATCTTAGAGCTGAAAGAAGAAGGAACATTCAATTTTTGAGGCCAATATTACACCAAAACCAGCCAAAGATTACAAAAACACTACAGACCAATATCCATCATGAACATAGACAAAAAAATTAACAAAATTTCAGCAAATAGATTCCAACAATATATTTTAAAAACAATAAATTTCTATCAAGTGGGACTTTTCCTGGGAATATAAGATTGGTTTAAGATTTGAATATCTATGAAATTCATCATATGATCAGAATCTGGGGGGGGCATATATGGTCAGAAAAAGCATGTGACAAAATTCAACACCCAATCAAAATTAAAACTCTCAGCAAACTCAAAAGATGACCTGAAATACATGGGTGAAATCATATTTGATAGTGAAAGGCTGAATGTGTTCCCCCCAAGACTGGGAACAAGGTAAGAAGGGCCAATCTCACCATCTCTATACAACATTTACTGCAGGTCCTAGCCAGGGCAAGAAGGTAATTAATAGAAAATGAATGATATGCAGATGAAAAAAGGAATAAGTAAAACTGTTTGTACATGACATCATTATCTATGTAAAAAGTATGGGAAAAGTATGGTCATGATGTTTTCAGAAACCATGGGTCAAATTCTGTATTTTAGGCCTGAAGTTCCCCTAACCCTTGTAGTATAATAATTTCTATTCCTTTCTTATGAGAAATGAACAGTAAGATTGGCTACTGTCTGTTGTCCATATATAAATCATACTATGTTGATATGTGCATCTTTCCCAGAAGTAAAAATTATACAGATGATACAAATGTACCTATTACAGGGATGCCTGAGTGGCTCAGTCAGTTAGGCGTCTGCCTTCGGCTCAGGTCATGATCCCAGGGTCCTGGGATCGAGCCCTGCATCAGGGTCCCTGCTCGGCGGGGAGTCTGCTTCTCCCTCTCCCTCTGCCCCTCCCCCCACTTGTGCTCTCTCTTTGAAATAAATAAAATCTTTTTAAAAAAACAAAAACAAATGTACCTGTTTCAATGGAGGGATCACGTAAAACTTACCTACTATTTTATTGATATTAGAGACCAGAGAAGAATGTCTACAGATAAGAGAATATTGCTGGCTTTGACCATGACCCAGATACTGAAAGAGCCAGACCACATCCTCTCTTTCAAGCAGTTGCGGGCACAGGCATCTGTGTCTCCCACTTAAAAGGGGGGTGGGCACGGTGAACATGTACTTGTGCATATTGTAGAAACGCTCCAGAACCGCTGGGTCTTGTGGCAAAAAAAAAAGTTCACCAGCAGAGGACTAAAATTAGTTTGGGCATTTGACTGATCTCTATCCCCTGACACCTTGAAATTGTTTCTATTTGCTGAATATTAAAGACTGAGCCAGGCTAGGTTTGGGCCAGGCTGTGAGATGCACAGATTTGCTTATGGGATACCAGCTAGTTGAAGATCCATGGTGGTCAGTGTCTTCCAAATTGCCAACTCCCTTTTTGGTCTCCAGCTTTATTCCACTGGTTCGAAGTATCAGAGTTTTCTATCAAATAGGTCGTATGATACTAATTAAGCAATTGGTCAAAACCAGACTATTTATTATGTGTTAAGGGTATTGTGGAAAGCATGTGCTGAATGCAGTGTCTGTGATCTTCTTTCCAGAAGGATGTTTTCCATGATCTCGGCAGGGGGATTCTGGACAGCGCTTGGCAAGGCTATAATGCCACCCTCCTAGCCTATGGCCAAACTGGCTCTGGAAAAAGCTATTCCATGGTTGGGTTTGGTGCAAACAAGGGTATTATTCCAAATGTGTGCGAGGAGCTCTTTCAAGCAATTGAGAAGCAGGAGGGAAATGAAGAATACCAGGTATGCGTTATCCGAAATCCCTTCTTCCAGGAATTCCTTTTTTTCATTTTGGAAACTCCTGGCTCCAAATGATCAGCATCTCTCTTTCAGGATAATGTTAATTTTCCATACCAAGATCTTCTCAGGATTGCAAAATCAAGTCGCTGCTAACTAGAATGCTGACATTTTCTGGTTCTATGGAGGCAAACCCAAAGGCGCTTCAGATGTTTAGGCGCTTCAGGCATTTAAGCAGATGTCTTAAAGCTAACCACTCATGAGGGACTCTCGTTGAGGCTGATAGAACAAGAGCCTCACTGACTTGCCAATGGCTTCCTTTACTCCCCTCTTCTGCCAAGGCTGTGGGTGTGTGCTCGTTTTCATTTCTTTCTTTCTTTATTTTTTTAAAGTAGGCTCCACGCCTGTGGAGCCCAGTGTGGGGCTCGATCCTGAGATGGAGACCTGAGCTGAGCTAAAGAGTTGGATGCTTCACTGACTGAGCCACCCAGACACCCCGTGACATCCTGTTTTTTCATGGAGAGCATTCTTTCTCTTTCCGAAGCAATGAGTTATAGGACTTTAAAGAACGTCTCTTCTACTCCATGCATCATCTGCTTTCTCAGAGTTCCTTTTTTCTACTGTTTGTTTGATCTCTCATATTGGAGGCTTTCCTTGTCTGCTAATCTTAGACCATTGGTTTAAAACATGTGACACTCAAGCTCGTTGGAAGCTCTGGGGACATGGGAGGTGACTGGGAAGACCCACCACTGGGAGATGAAACCCACAAGCCCGCCTTCTCATGGGTGGCAGTGGCAAATATCAGTATCTTAGGGCCTTTTCTCTATGCTAGAGCCATTCCAATTCCTCCAGCCTCCCACATACAGGGTGTCGGCTTGTCCAGAAATATTCCAGAAGGAATACACAGTATGATAAAGACCAGTCTTTTTCTCTACATATGTTCAGATTGGGAGTGAGTAATAAAGAATAACCTTTTTCTGTTGCCAAGCAAGACCGAAATACAAACACACAGGGTTGTGTATATGTTTTTAATTTATATTAAGAATTTCTTCCATATCATTAAAATTATGTGAGAATCACTTATTGCATGTGAATTAGCATTACTATATTTTTATTTATTTTTATTTTTTATTTTATTTATTTATTTATTTATTTTTGGCAATACAATGACACCCTGTTTATTTGTCAGAGAAAGAACATGTTCTGGCAAGTCTTGGAAATTAAATCCACTCCAGAATAGAATACTAGAAAACAGCTTCTTAATTTAATACATAATTTGAATATAAAGAGCTTTAAAATGCATCCATGTTAATGACCGCAAAATAAATAAGACAAAATTTGACAAAATTATAAGAGAAAAATGACAAATCTAAAATAATGTTTTTTAACACAACTCTCAGTGATTAAGAAATCAGGCAAATTTTTAGCAAGAATATAGATGATATAAGCAATGTAATAAACTTAATCTAGTAAACACATATAAAATCCATACCCAATAATTAGGGAATGCATATTCTTTTCAAGCCCAATTGAAACACTTAGAAAAACTGACAATACACTAGACCACAAAGCAAGGTTCAAGAAATACTAAAGAGTCTATATCATATAGACCAAATTTTCCGACTAGCATTACTATATTTTTAAAAGATTTTATTTATTTATTTAAGAGAGAGAGAGCACAAGCAGGGTGAGGGGCAGAGGGAGAGGGAGACTCCCCGTGAGCAGGGAGCCAGACGCAGGGCTTGATCCCAGGACCCTGGGATCATGACCTGAACCAAAGGCGGATGCTTCACCGACTGAGCCGCCCAGGCGCCCCAAGCATTACTATATTCGATATTAGCTTCTCCCTTTGTTGGAAATTTATGTTGTTCCTATATGACTTTTTTCCCCAAAGATGAGGTTCCAGAGAATATTAACTTTATGTTCTTTTCTATACAGGTTACGTTCAGTATGCTGGAAATTTACAATGAGCAGGTAACAGTGACTGTATTCTCTGACACACACCTGAGGGACTCTGCAGCCAGTCTCCCCCTCCCCCACCCTACAGCTGGAGTGCCAACTCCGTAGCCCACCATGGGCTGCAGCCCTGTCCCACCTCTCTGGCTCCACTTCCTGCCCCTTTAACTCCACACACTCTCTGCTTCCGCCACATAAATGTCTTCCTCTCTGGAACATGTCCTTCTTCCCCACATCTACCCTTCTCTGCCCTTCCAGGGTCCGCTCCCCTTCCCATCCAGTTGGCCTCAGTCAGCATGTGGGGCAGAGGAGTGGCAAACTGTTTTCAAAGGGCCAGATGGTTTGTGCTGCAACTATTCACCTCCCCCCCAGCACAATGGAATACGGGGCAGTCGGGGGCGGGGGGGGGCTTCCAATGGGGCACAGTTCTTGGACACTGAAACTTGAATTTCACATAATTTTTGATGTGGGGCTGAGAGTCAGTGGTCAAGAGAGAATTCTTGAGATGCTTTCGGTGCAAAGAGGTGCTTTTGTTAGAGCAAGGCGACAGGACTCTTGGGCAGAAAAAGCTGCCCCAGGGTTATGAGGAGTGGCTGATTATGGACTTCTGTTAGCGGGGGTTTAGGGACAGGTAAGTCTCTAAGGAATTTGTGCATGTTAGAAGCAAGGCCTCCAGGATGTTGGATGTGTTAAGGTTGCTTAAATCTTTAAAGATACATCAACATTAAGGCGGCCATGATTTCCTTGCGGAACGCCACACTTTGCAACTTAGGCTGCAAGTTGTAAGGAAATTTAATGTCAGCTGCATTTCTCTTGCCTTTGTTCTTCTCATCAATTTTCACATGTCACAAAATATTTTTTTTAAGAGTTTATTTATTTGTCAGAGAGAGAAAGAGAGAGAGCTCATGAGCAGGGGGAGAGGCAGAGGGAGAAGCAGACTCCACGCTGAGCGAACAGCCCCAGGTGGGACTTGATCCCAGGACACTGGGATCATGACCTGAGCCAAAGGCAGACGTTTAACTGACTGAGCCACCCAGGCATCCCCAAAATATTTTTCTTTTGATTTTTTTCAGTCACTTAAAAATGTGGAAAACATTCTTATGTCAAGGATCCTACAAAAACAGGTGGCCGGCTGAACTTAGCGCCCACACCATGGTTTGCCTGTCCCTGGGGTGGTTGGAAAGAGCATGATCTCAGACCCCACCTCTCTCATTGAGTAGCCATGTGACTTTGGAAAATCACTTTATCTCAGAGCTCAGTTTTCTCATTTACAGAGAATTTAAAATAAGACACCACACATTGAGGTGCACTGTTTTAAATTTCTAACACAGAGCTTAGAAAACACCAGATATTCATTGCCCTTTCCCCCTGAATTGATCATATTATACTGTGAAATTTTATTTACATATTTGTATCTCCAGAACAGATCATGTCCTTGTGAACATCTTTCAATATGAAGTATCCTCTCAATACTCAGTGCACTTGTAGATTTAGAATGGGTGCTCCTGAATATTTACTGAGTGGATGAATTGACAAAGGCATCTAAAACTGTAAGTTTCTTATAGGAGACCATATCCTAATAGTTTTTGTGTAACCCCAAGCACTATCCAAAGCCTTGCACTTAATCATTCCTAAATATTAAAGGAATTAATCTGTCAGTGTTTTTCTCTTTATATTAGAGAAAGAAAACATCCATTTTGTTTCTTACATTCTTTCATGAGTCATTTATTACCATTGAAGGTTGATAGTAAATTCAATGGGTTCTTTTTTTTTAAAAGATTTTAAATTCCAATTAGTTAACATATTAGTTTCAGGTATACAATATAGTGATTCAACACTTCCCTACATCACCCGGTGCTCATCACGACAGGTGCACTCCTTAATGTCCATCACCTGATTCACCCATCTCCCCACCCCCACCCACCTCCCCTCTGGTGACCAGCAGTTTGTTCTCTAGAGTTTAAGAGTCTGTTTCTTTGTTTCTCTCTATTTTCCCTTTCCTCATCTGCTTTGTTTCTTAAGTTCCACATGAGTGAAATCATATGGTATTTGTCCTTCTCTGAATGGCTACTCCACTTAGCATAATACTTTCTAGCTCCATCCATGTCATTGCAAATGGCAAGATTTCATTCTTTTTTATGGCTGAGTAATGTTTCATTGTGTATATATTCATACACCACTTCTTCTTTACCCAATCATCAGTCGGTGGACACTTGGGTTTTCCACATTTTGGCTATTGTAGATAACGCTGCTATAAACATTGGGGTGCATGTATCCCTTTGTATTAATTTTTTGTATTCTTTGGGTTAAATACCCAGTGGTGCAATTGTTGGATCATAGGGTAGTTCTATTTTTAACTTTTTGAGGAACCTCCATACTGCCCTCCATAGTGGGGGGTAAGAGGGCTCCCCTTTCTCCACTTCCTCATCAACATCTGTTGTTTTTTGTGTTTTTGATTTTAGCCATTCTGACAGGTGTGAGGTGATATCTCATTGTGGTTTTTATTTGCATTTCCTTGATGATGAGTGCTGTTGAGCATCTTTTCATGTGTCTGTTGGTCATCTGCATGTCTTCTTTGGAGAACTGTTTGTTCATGTCTTCTGCCCTTTTTAAATTTGGATCATTCGTTTTTTGGGGTGTTGAGTTTTATCAGTTCTTTATATATTTTGGATACTAACCCTTTTAAATATCTTCTCCCATTCAGTAGGTTGCCTTTTAATTTTATTGATTGTTTCCTTTGCTGTGCAGAAGCTTTTTATTTTGATGAAGTCCCAGTAATTTCTTTTTGCTTTTGTTTCCCTTCCCTCAGGAGACATATCTGGAAAGAAGTTATTATGGCCTATGTCAAAGAGGTTATTGCCTGTGTTCTCCTCTAGGACTTTTATGGTTTCCTGTCTCACGTTTATGTCTTTAATCCATTTTGAATTTATTTTTGTGTATGGTGTAAGAAAGTGGTCCAGTGTCATTCCTCTGCATATCGCTGTCCAATTTTCCCAACACCATTTGTTGAAGAGACTGTCTTTTTCCCATTGGATATTCTTTCCTACTTTGTCGAAGATTAATTGACCATATAGTTGTGGGTTCCAAATGGGTTCTTCTGTTAAGGTCACTAATCAAGTTTCTATTTCTTTCAAGTTGCTAAGGCTTGGAAGACAGTGTGACTCCTTTATTTTGTACCAATGACTTTGGGAGGACAATTTAATTTCCTTTGTTACCAAGTTCTGGTGGGCATCTCACTGTGGTCTCCCTTCTGAAATCTGCTTATGATGATAGTCTGTATGGAATTCTGTTTCCTCATCTCTAAAATAAGAACACTGGACATCCTGGGGTGGCTCAGTTGGTTAAGCGTCTGCCTTGGGCTCAGGTCATGATCCCAGGGTTCTGGGATCGAGCCCCGGGTAGGGCTCCCTGCTCATCTGAGGATGAGTTAATCCTTGGACTTAATTCCTGCCATGGAGGAGTCTAGTGGGAGCTACAACACCCTCTCCAGACAGTGATGTATGACATGTGTGCCATGAATGGTGAAGAGCAAGGGGCAGAGAGGACGGAATACATGACTACCTGGGATGTTTGGCAGCAATGTTCAATGCTGGACTTAGACTGGACCTTGAAAAATGTGTAGGAGTTTGGTGAGGCAGCTGGAGGGTTGGGGGCACAGACGGGCACTTTAGGCAGGATTCATTTTAACCAGTCCAAAAATACATGAAAGTGCATGGCATTTAAAGGAACAGTCAGTACCCTGTGTAGCCAGAGTTGGATACATGGTGGGGGTCTGCCAGAAGTAAAGGGACTTTGTCCCAGAGGCAGTAGAGAATCCGTGGAGGGTTTTATAGGGAAATCCCTATAGATTGGGATTCTAGAAGAGTTCTCTAGCAGCAGAGTGAAGTTGGATTTGAAGGTGTGTCAAAAAGAGGCAGAGTTAGGAGATTCTCAGGAAAGCCCAGGTGAGTGAAGGTCTTGTGACAATCACCAATTTTGATCTCCAGGCACAACATGGAGGGTCCCAGCACCAGGATCCACTCTTGTCTCTGGACGCCCATACTTCCACTCCACCCAGATAAATCTACTTAGCTTTTTTCTAATAAGCCTTACTCAGTCCTATCTTCAGCCTCAGATGCCCCTTCCAACAATCTCTATGTTAGAGGAAAGGCTTCCTAGCTACACCAGAAGTGGTCTCTGTTTTGATGTCTCCTTATCTCTGTCACCTTACGTCCACTGTCTTAGTTTGGCTTGCCCAAACTTCAATCTGTGATCTTGCCTTGGCTCTAGGATGAAAAGCTGTAGAATACCAGAGCTGGGGGAGATCTCGGAGATAATTTAATCCACCCCTACCATTATGAATACTGGGAAAGTAAGAGATTTTCCAAAGCACTCCCAGGTTAGAGGCAGAACCAGGACGGAGAACCCAGGTCTTCAGGCTCCCAGTCCAGACATCTCTGCACCATATAACACCGGCCACCCCTCTGGGGCCTCTGGCTCTACCAGAATTCCACAGTAGGACCTAGTTGGCCTTGTCAGAGGTGGCTTTTCTTGGATGAGAGGCAACATGGGCTTTTACCCAAAGCCATGGTCTAGGTGTGACATCTCACAAATCTCCAATAATAAGATCCAAAGAATCACCCATATTCTCCTGTTAGGTTTGACTGTAGCAAATACTGTTTGGATTGAATTAGTTTCCATTGGAAGTAGAGAGTTCAGGGTGGTGGCTTTTGTGGGCACATGATCTCACCTAGGCAGACCATGCTTTCTGCTTACATTAGGTACTTAGAAAGTTACTATCTACTATTTATTTTTATTTTCATTTATCACTATTCTCGGTAAAATAAGACAGATTACAAAATTACTTTGTAATAGAGAATTTGTGATAATTCAGAGAGGGGCTAGGATAGTGTATTTTTATATTATCCACAAAGGAATTGCTAATCAAATAAAATAATTAATAAGATTTCTAGGCAAATGTTTGTCAATAAGAGAGTAAAAGTTTCAAGCACAAATGTTTTAGAAGCACCTGTTAAAAGCCAGACACCTGTGCATACCTACTCCAATATTTTATCCTGCTGCAGAAGCAGATCTGCAGCATCTTACATGTGATGTATTAAACATTATTTGTTAGCCTAGCTCTGGTTACCCTGTTCTGTCAAAAATCATTCACTGAATGCCTCTTCTACGATGGGAACTATGTCAGGATCTACTAGTAAAAAGCCCTGGTCCCACCCAAAGGGAGTTCACAGGCTGGTTGAAGCGCTCTAGGTACTAGAAAATACTAGAACTGAGTTTTTATTTACGTCACTTATTACAACAGGTTTCCCTCCTGTTTGCCATTCCCCTATTTCTTATTTACCTAAATAGTGAGCTTGTCCGGTGCCTACAGAAATTTAACATTTATTCATTCATCTAATAAGTTTTTATTGAACACTTAATATATTCTAGGCAGAAGTGTAGGTGTTAGGTGTAACAGTGAAGTAAATAGAAATCTCTGCCTTCCTGAAGTTTACATTATTTATTCTTTTTTCCACAGATAAGAGACTTGCTATCTAGAACCAAGAAACCTGGGGGACTAAAAGTAAGAGAAGATCAACAGCTGGGCTTTTATGTGGATGGCCTGAAGTCAGTGCCCTGTGAGAACTATGCACAGATAGAAAGGCTGATGGAACAAGGGACAAAAATAAGGACCACAGCATCGACCAACATGAACGCCAGCAGCAGCCGGTCTCATATGGTTATCACCATTCAGTTCAAGCAGGTGAGACTCGTGGGAAGGCTGCGGTCCCGGTTTCCCACTAAGTGTGATCCATGGGAAGGGTTCCCAGTGGCATGAGTTGGTGAGTACTATGGAATCCTTTCAGATTTGACCTATGGATTAAGGTGGCTACTTCCAACCATGGGCTATGGGGTCAGAAACAGAACAAAGTGAGGCACTTTCTCTTTTTCTACCTCCCCACATCCCTGCTCCACCCAGGCTCCCCAGGATGATGATGACCAGCTTTCAGATCCATGAGCCTAGAGAACCACCAGATACTGAACTACCTTTCCAATACTTGGAAGTAGCAAGATAAGGTCTTTGAAACTAGCTAATCCATGTAACTCTCCACTAACTAGAATTTTTGAAAAAACTGAGCACATTTTTCTCCTCCATACTTCTTGGTAGATATCAGAGAATAAACTCTAGATCATCATCAGTTTGATTCTAAATAGTTATTTACAAAGCCTGGGTAAGCATTACAGTTAACTATGATTTCACCATCTCTGTTGCCTAAGCCACATCCCTAGTAATAGACAGAATGGTGGAAATGAAGATTACCCTGCTCTAACCAGGAATAGTGGGAAAACACTGGACTATATCTAACTCTGCTTACCAGCTTTGAAACTTCGGGAAATAACTTACTCGTCCTTAGTCTCAGTTTCCTATTCTGTGAAATGAGACAAATAGCTATCCTGCAGGAGTGCTGGGAAGCTTAAAGAAGGACCTGCATTTTAAAGAACTTTGAAGGATGACTGGGAAGATGGCAGAGAAGGCTCTGAGTTCACCTCCTTCCGCAGACACACAGAGACCACTATGCATAATCCAACTCACTCTGGAAACGACCTGAAGACTGGTAGAACAGCTCTTCCACAGCTAAAGACATAAAAAGAAACCCACAATGAGAAGGGTAGGAGGGGCAGAGGTCTAGATGGAAACCAAACCCCAGGCAGAGCGACCCTCAAGCAAGAAGGATATCATAGGCACCAAGGTATTTCTTGAGGAGCCAGGGTATCAAGCTTTACATCAGGCACCCCCTGCCCTGGAGACCTGCATCAGAAAGACAAGCCTTATAACATTGGGCTTTGAAAATCAGCAGACTCAACTCTGGGAGAGGTGGAGGGCTATAAGAAATTGACAGTCCACTCCTAAAGGGCCAGCACACTACATCACGCACTGTGAGACCCAGCACAGAAACAGTAGTTTAAAAGTGCCTGGGTTATACATGAAGAAGATATAGTGACTAATTTTAGGGCATGTGCCAAAGGATCAGAGATATGTAGGAGCTCTTGTAGGAACAAAGAGTTCTGGAAGGTGCTATTTTTCTTGACCTTCTTCTGCCTAGCTGGTCAGTCCTTGTGGGAGCCAGTTCTGACATTCTCCATCCACCTTCTTAACACTGTTTGCCCTGCCTGGTGTTTCGCTGTGGACATGCCTCACCCACCCACCCCTGAAGGCACCCCTTCAAAGAGACTCCTTCCCCAAGGAGGAGGGGAGCCAGCCTTGACCACCAGCACACCTGTAGCAGCTACAGTCGGGCCTCTCAGCAAGCTGTCTTGGGGGCCATCTCTGCCCATCAGCACACCCACAGCAGGTGCAGCCAGTCACACAGGGGGTGCACACAGCCCACACAATAGATATCCCTGAAGCACCTGGTTCTGATGACCAGGGGGATTGTGCTGCCGGGCTCCCTATAGAATGCCTTCTACACAAGGCCACTACTGTCAGGACCAGGAGATACAGTTAACCTACCTAGTACACAGAAAGAAATGAAGGGTCAGACAAAATCAGGAGACAGGAAAATATGTTCCAAACAAAAGAACAAGACAAAATATCAGTAAAAGAACTAAACAAAATGGAAATAGGCAATCTGCCTGATAGAGTTCCAAGTGAGACAGGTGCTCCACAGACTAGAGAGAAGAGTGGATGAGCTCAGTGAGAACTTCAACAAAGAGATAGAGATATAAAAAGAACCAATCATAGCTAAGTAATTTGCATTATCAGGGTCCCAGAAAGAGAGAGAGAGAGAGAGAGAGAGAGAGAGAAAGGGGCAGAAAATGTATTTCAAGAAATAATACCTGAAAACTTCCCTAACCTTGAGGGAAAAATAACAGACATCCAGGTCCAGGAATCACAGAGAGCCCCAAAGAAGATGAACCCAAGGGACTCCACACTAAGACACATAATAATTAAAATATTGAAAATTAATAATAAAAGGAGAATCTAAAGGACAGCAATATTAGAAAAGCAAATTGCTATATACAAGGGAAACCCCATAAGGCTATCAGCTTATTTTTCAGCAGAAACTTGACCAGAAAGGAATGCCATGATATATTCAAAGAACAGAAAGGAGAAAACCTACAATGAAGAATTCTCTACCCATTAAGGTTATGACTCAGAATTGAAGGAGAGATAAAGAGTTTCCAAAACAGGGGCGCCTGGGTGGCTCAGGCGGTTAAGCATCTGCCTTCACCTCAGGTTATGATCTCGAGGTCCTGGGATCAAGGCCTGTGTTGGACTCTCTGCTCAGCGGGGAGTCTTCTTCTCCCTCTCCCTCTGCTGCTCCCTGCTGCTTGTGCTCTCTCTCTCTCAAATAAATAAATAAAAAATCTTAAAAAAAAAAGTTTCCAGGACAAACAAAATTAAAGGAGATCATTACCACTACATTAGCCTTACAAGAAATGTTAAAGCAGACATAGGGTGACTGAATGGATTAAAAAAACAAAACAAAACAAAACACAAGACCCACGTATATGCTGCCTACAGGGATTCACTTCAGACATAAAGACACATACAGACTGAAAGGGAAAAGATATTACATGCAATTGGAGGCAAAAAAAAAATGCTAGGGTAGACAAACTGACTTTAAAACAAAGAGTGTGGGGTGCCAGGGTGGCTCAGTTGGTTAAGTATCTGCCTTGGCTCGGGTCATGATCTCGGGGTCCTGGGATCGAGCCCTGCATCAGGCTCCCTGCTCAGCAGGGAGTCTGCTGCTCCCTCTCCCCCACAACCACCTACATGCTCTGTCTTTCTCAAATAAATAAAAATCTTAAAAAAATAAAACAAAGACTATAACAAGAGACAAAGAAGAGCATTACATAATGATAAAGGGATCAATCTAACAAGAGGATATAACAACTATAAATCTCTACGCACCCAATATAGGAGCACCTAAATATATAAAGCCAATATTAAGAGACATAAAGGGAGAAAGTGACAGTAATATAATAATAGAAGGGGACTCTAACACCCCACTCATGTCAGTGGACAGATCATCCAGACAGAAAATCAACAGGGAAATGGTGGCTTTGAATGACACGTGCAACCAGATGGACTTAACAGCTACATTCAGAACATTTCATCCTAAAGCAGCAGAATACACATTTTTCTCAAGTGTACATGGAACATTCTCCAGGATAGGTTTCATGTTAGGCCACCAAACAAACCTCAATAAACATAAGGAGTGTGAAATCATATCAAGCATCTTTTCTGACCACAATGGTATGAAACTAGAAATCAATTACAAGAATAAAACTGGAAAAAAACACAAACAAGTGGATGCTAAACAACAAGCTACTAACCAACCAATGGGCCAACAAAGACGCCAGAGAGGAAATAAAATAATACATGGAGACTGGGGCGCCTGGGTGGCTCAGTCAGTGAAGATTTGACTCTTGTTTCAGCTAAGGTCATGATCTCAGGGTCATGAGATCGAGCCCCATGTAGGGCTCTGTGCTCAGCGGGGAGTTTGCATGAGATTCTCTCTCTTCCTCTCCTTCTTTCCTCTCCCCATTCGCACTCCCTTTCTCCCTCCCTCTCTCTCTCAAATAAACAAACAAATAAATACCTTAAAAAATTCATGGAGACAAATGAAAATAGAAACATAATGGTTCAAAATCTTTGGGATGCAGGGCTGCCTGGGTGGCTCAGTTGGTTAAGCGTCTGACTCTTGTTTTTGGCCCAGGTCATGATCTCAGGGTCCTGAGATCAAGCCCCGCATCAGGCTCTGCACTCTCCTGGAAGTCTACTTGTCCTTCTCCCTCTGCTCCTCCCCTGCTCATGCGCGCGCTCTCTCTCTCTCTCAAATAAATAAAATCTTTTTAAAAAATCTTTGGGATGGAGCAAAAGCACTTCTAAGAGGGAAGTTTATAGACACAAGCCTACCTCAAGAAACAAGAAAAATATTAAATAAACAACTTAACTTTATACCTAAAGGAACTAAAAAAAGAAGAACAAAAGCCAAACTTAGTAGAAGGAAGTAAAGATCAAAGTTGAAATAAATGAAATAGAGGCTAAAAAAAAGAAAATATCTATGAAATTAAGAGCTGATTTTTTGAAAAGATAAAAAAATTGATAAGCCTTTAGCCAGACTCATTAAGAAAAAAAGAGAGAATACCCATATACATAAAATCAGAAATTAAAGAGAAGTTCAACAGACATCACAGAAATACAAAGGATCAGGGCACCTGGATGGCTCAGTCGGTTAAGCATCTGCCTTCAGCTCAGGTCATGTTCCCAGGGTCTTGGGATCAAGTCCCACACTGGGCTCCCTGCTCAGCAGGGAGTCTGCTTCTCTCTCTACTCTTCACCCTTCTCGTGCTTTCTCTAATAAAAAAAAAAATCTTAAAAAAAAAGAAATACAAAGGATTATAAGAGACAACTACAAAAGATTATGAACCAACAAATTGGACAACCTAGAATAAATTGATAAATTCCTAGAAACATACAATCTTCCAAGTCTGAATCAGGAAGAAATAGAAAATCTGAACAGACCAATTACTAGTAACAAAAGTGAATTGGTAATCAAAGAACTCCCAACAAACAAAAGTACAGGACCAGATGGCTTCCGAGATGAAGTCTACCAAACATTTTTTTTTTAAGATTTATTTATTTTAGAGAGAGAGAGAGTGCATGCATGAGAGCAAGCATGATTTGGGGGAGGGGCAGAGGGAGAGGGAGAGAATCTCAAGCAGACTCTCCTCTGAGCACCGAGCCTTGAGGGGCTTGATCTCACAACCCTGAGTCATGACCTGAGCCGAAATCAAGACTCAGACACTCAACCGACTGAGCCACCCAGGCATCCCTCTACCAAACATTTAAAGCAGTGTTAATATCCTTTTCAAACTATTCCAAAAATTAGGAGAGGAAAGAAAGCTTCCAAATTCACACTATGAGGCCAGCATTACCCTAATGCAAAAAATAAATAAATAAATAAATAATTACAGATCAATATCGCTGACGAATATAGATGCAAATGTCTTCAACAAACTAAATTCAACAATATGTTAAAAGTATCATTCCCCACAAATCAAGTGGGATTTATTGCAGGGATGCAAGGATGGTTCAATATTTGCAAATCAATCAATGTGATACACCATTAACAAAATGAAGCATAAAAATCATATGATTATTTTAATAGATGCAGAAAAAAGCATTTGACAAAACTTAACATATGTTCACAATGAAAAGTCTCAACAAAGTGGATTTAAGGAGAACAACTCAATGTACATAATAAAGTCCTTATGTGCCAAACCCACAGCTAGCATCATACTCAATGGTGAAAAACTAAAGGTTTTTCCTTTAAGATCAGGAACAAGGCAAGGATGTCCACTCTTGCCACTTTTATTCAACATAGTACTGGAAGTCCTAGCCAAAGGAATCAGGCAATCGGACATGGAAAAGAATAAAATGCATCCAAATAAGTACAAAAGAATTAAAATTTTCATTATTTGTAGGTAAGATGATACTATACATAGAATACTCTAAAGACTACCAAAAAACTATTAGAATTAATAAATGAAATCAATAAAGTTTCAGGATAAAAATTAATATACAAAAATCTATTTCTATACAATGATAATGAACTAGCAGGAAAAGAAATTAAGAAAACAATTCCATTTACAATTCTATCAGAAAGCATAAAATACCCAGCAATAAATTTAACCAAGGAGGTAAAAGAAATGTCTTCTGAAAACTATAAGACATTGATAAAAGAAATTGAAGAAGACACAAACAAATGGAAGGACATTCCATGCTCATGGATTGGAAGAACAAATATTGTTAAAATGTCTATACTATCCAAAGCGAGCTACAGATTCAATGCAATACCCATCAAGATACCAATACTATTCTTTATAGAACTAATAATCCTAAAATTTATATGGAACCACAGAAGACTCCAAATAGCCAAAGCAATCTTGAGAAAGAGGAATAAAGCTGGAGGAATTGCAAACTATACTACAAAGCTACAGTAATGAAGAGTATGGTACTGGCACAAAAACAGACGCATAGATCAATGGAACAGAATAGAGAGCCCAGAAATAAACCCACACTTTTATGGTCAATTAATCTATAAAAAAAGAAGGCAAGAATATACAACGGGAGAAAAGACAATCTCTTCAATATGTAGAGTTGGGAAAATTGGTCAGCTACATGCAAAATAACGAAACTGAACCACTTTCTAACACCATACACAACAATAAATTCAAGGGGCACCTGGGTGGCTCAGTCGTTAAGCGTCTGCCTTCGGCTCAGGTCATGATGCCAGGGTCTTGGGATCAAGTCCCACATCGAGCCCTGCATCGGGCTCCCTGCTCAGCGGGAAGCCTGCTTCTCCCTCTCCCACTCCCCCTGCTTGTGCTCCCTCTCTCGCTGTGTCTCTCTCTGTCAAATAAATAAATAAAATCTTTAAAAAAATCAATAAATAAATTGAAAATGGATTAAAGACCAAAAATGATAACTGAACCTATAGAAAGAAAAAAGAAAACATAGGCAGTAAATAGATAGTCTTAGCAATATTTTTTTGGATATATCTCCTTAGACAAAGGAAACAGAAGCAAAAATAAACAGTTGGAACTACATCAAAATAAAAAGGTTTTGTACAACAAAGGAACCCATCAACAAAAATGGAAAGGCAACCGACAGAATGGGAGAAGGTATTTGCAAATGACATATCCAATAAGGGGTTAGTATTCAAAATACATAAAGAATTTATACAAATCAACATCAAAATCAAAACAAGGAACAGTCTGATTTAAAAATTGGACAGAGCCTCTGAATAGACATTGTTCCAAAGACTGATACACATACATGAAAAGATGCTCAACATCACTCATCACCAGGGAAATGCAAATCAAAACCACAATGAAATATCATCTCCCACCTGTCAGAATGGCGAAAATCAAAAACACAAGAAATAACAAGTGTTGGCGAGGATGTGGAGAAAGGGGAACCCTCGTGCACTGTTGGTGGGAATGCAAACTGGTGCAGCCACTGTGGAAAACGGTATGGAGGTACTTCAAAAAATTAAAAATAGAAATACCATGACAATCCAGTAATTCCACTGCTGAATACTTACCCAAAGAAAATGACAACGCTATTTGAAAAAGATATATGCACCTCTGTATTTATTGCAGCACCATTTACCATAGCCAAGATAGAGAAATAACCTAAGTGTCCACTGATACCATATGGTATATATACTCAATGGAATATTACTTAGCTTTAAAAAAGAATGAAATCTTGCTTTCCGGCGGTGACGACCTCCCCACGAGAACATGCCCCTCGCGAAGGATCTCCTGCACCCGTCCCCGGAGGAGGAGAAGAGGAAGCACAAGAAGAAGCACCTGGTGCAGAGCCCCAACTCCTACTTCATGGACGTGAAGTGCCCCGGATGCTACAAGATCACCACCGTCTTCAGCCACGCGCAAACGGTAGTTCTGTGCGTCGGCTGTTCCACTGTGCTCTGCCAGCCCACAGGAGGGAAGGCCAGGCTTACAGAAGGATGCTCCTTCAGGCGGAAGCAGCACTAAAAGCACCCTGAATCCAGATGAGTGGGACGCCCTCCCAATAAACAGATTTTGGATTAAAAAAAAAAAAAAAAAAGAATGAAATCTTGCCTTTCAGGACAACATGGATGGACCTAGAGGGTATTAGGCTAAGTGAAATAAGTCAAAAAAAGAAAAATACCATATGACTTCACTTGTATGTGGAATCTTAAAACACAAGACAAATGAACAAACAGACACAAATAGAAAGAGACTCATAGGTACAGAAAGCTGGTGGTTGCCAGTGGGGAGGGTTTAGAGGGATGGGTGAAACAGGTGAAGGGGATTAAGATGTATCCACTTCTAGTTAAAAAATAAGTAAGTCACAGGGATGAAAAGTACAGCATAGAGAATACAGTCAGTAATATTGTAATGACATCGTAGGGAGACATTTGGTAACTCCACTCACCACAGGTGAGCATTTTGTAACATATATAATTGTCAAATCACTATGTTGTACACCTGAAACTAATGTAATGTTGCATGTCAACTGTACTTCAATTAAAAGTAAAAAAAAAAAAAAAAATAGGAGCCCCTGGGTAGCTCAGTTGGTTAAGCGTCTGACTCCTGGTTTCGGCTCAGGTCATGATCTCAGGGTCATGAGATCAAGCCACGTGTGGGGCTCCACACTCAGTGGGGAGTCTGCTTGAGATTCTCTCTCTCTCTCTCTGCCCCTCCCACCCCGCTCATGTGTGCACGTGCACACTCTCTCAAATAAATACATCTTTTTTTTAAAGTAAGAGAATAAAGAACCTTATAAACTTTAAGTACTATTCAGATGATATTACATTAGTAACATTCATAAACTTTATATATGCTTTGCCCTTTTTTTAACTTGATGTTTTAGAGGCAAGGGAAGAAATCCACTGAAAAAATATGTGTAGAGATCTAGCATTACACTCTGCATATTAGTGTCAGTAATGATATTAACACCTGTTACTGTATGCTGGGCATGGTGAGAACCATTACTTCTCTTATCTGTTACCCTCCTAACACCCCAATAATATGCTGTGATCCCTGTTTCCCAATTAAGACAGTTGCAATTCTGAAAAGCTAGTTCTCACAGTCACATAACCAGCAAGGGGATCTGTCACATTCTAAAATCTACATTCTTTTCCCCTCCCTGCATGACCACACTGTTCCAAACAGTTCCTTATTTTGCAGATTTCCCAGTATTTTCTACTTAAAACGTTTGATCACAGAAATACTAGAGCAGTAACTGGTATCTAACATACCACTGGAAATAGCTTTGCAAAATTGAGAAGGAGCAACTGAGACATTTGGGCCTTATGATGTATTAATGTGAAATGTCATTGTAAAGAAGATGGCCTTTTTTTTTGAGAGAGAGAGAGGAGAGTGAGCAGGGGTGGAGGGTCAGAGGTAGAGAGAGAGAATCTTAGGCTCCTTCACCAGCAGGTAGTCTGACAGAGGGCTGGATCTCACAACCCTGCGATCATGCCCTGAGCCGAAACCAAGAATTGTGCGCTTAACCGACTGAGCCACCCAGGTGCCCCGAAGGTAGCCTTTTAATTTGTAAATTTTAATATATCATTTTGAGCGTGATGTACAATTAGAAAAAATGTTTTAAAGTGTGAAGTAGATTGATTTCATATGTAGCCTGCTACCACTCTAATCGCATGACTTGTGGCGCTTTCCTATAGGTTTTCCTAGACAGCAACCTCACCAAGCAATCCAGTATTAATTTGGTGGATTTAGCAGGAAGTGAAAGGCAGAAATCTTCAGGATCTGAAGGAGACAGACTGAAGGAAGGATCACGAGTTAACTTAAGTTTAACCAGTTTAGGAAACGTTATCAGGTAAATAATTGGTGCATGGGTATTTATTTCTGCCGTAAAAATGACCTCAGAAATTAAAAAAAAATCAGATTAATCATAGCCCTTGGTTCATGACCCACTCATGATCTCATTGGCTCATACCTGGCCTGCCTATATATTTTATTTTAAACTTATTGCTTTTTAATAAAACTGAAAACACCAGTAAATTCACCACCCAACCCAAGAAATAGTTGGTATTTCTGTGCTATGCCCCCCTTGGAGGTAGCCACCGTCTTAAATTTTGCTTATCCCCTCTCTGTCCCTTGCTCCCTTTCTTTTTTCACCCTTTCTTGTCTTATCACTTATGAATATAGTGGCACTCATTTTTTTTTGAAATGTACAAAAAGGGTAAAATATTATACTATCTTTTGGATCTTGTTCTTTTTTATGTGATCAAAGTATAACTTATATAAAGTACACAAATCTTAAATTTCAGCTTGGTGAATTTTTATATGTATATATATCTATATAATTACCACCCAGGTCAAGATATAGAACATTTCCAAAACCCAGAAAGCTCCCTTGTACCCTCTTCCTAGATTTTACACCCACCAAAAGAAGTTGACCTTTGCCACTAAAAATTGGTTTTGCCTAACTATATTGATTTTCATCTAAATGACTATGGCTATGAGACTAAGCCATGTTTCTCATGTAATGTATCAGCTCTTTTTCATTGCTATGTAGGATTCCATTGTAGAAAATATACCACAATTCATTTATCCATTCCCCTATTGATGGACATTTCGTTTGTATCCAGGTTTTGACTATTATGAATAATGTTGCTATGAACATTCTTGTACATATGCTTTGGAGAAAACAATTTCTCATTCCCCTCAAGGATACACCCAGGAGTAGAATTGCTGGGATTGGCTTTTTGACCCACCATTATTAAAAATATGTATCCATGTTATGTGTGGCTTTGGTTAATTTGCCCTCTGTTCTGTCACTAAACATTGTGTTTATGAGATCCCCTGTTGTAGTAGAAGTTGTTACTTCTTTTTCATTATGATGTAGTGGGGAATTCCATTGTGGGCATATGCCACAATTTATTCATTTGTTCTCCTTTTGGATTGGCATTTTGGTTGTTTCCAGGTTTTGGTTATTTGCTATTATAAACAGTACTATTATGAACATTCTTGTACAAATCACTGGGTATCACTATATTAAAGTTTCTCTTGAGTATAGACAAAGGACTGAAATTGTTGAATTATTTGTAAGGTATATGCAATACCTATTTTTTTTTTTTTTGGCAGTACCTAACTTTTGACAGTGGGGACAAATTATTTTCCAAGTGTTTGGACCAATTTATACTCCCAGCAGCAATTTATAAAATATCCCATTGATCCACATCTTTTCTAAGGCTTAGTATTGTCACATTTCTTGATATTTACTAATTAAACGGTCTTGCCATGGTCTTGATATTCCTGGTTACTAGAAATTTTGAGCATCTTACCATGGTCTTGATATTCCTGGTTATTAGCAAGTTTGAGTATCATTTGATACATTTACTGGCAATATGTCAGTAAATCTCAAAATACCTGTTATGTTTTGCCTCTTAGTCTATTCAGTTACTGTCTTTTATTGATTTTTAGGAGTTCTTTACATATTTTGTATTACTCTTTCCTCAGGTATATAATAAATATCTTCTCCCAGCAGGTAGCTTGTCTTTTCACTTTTAGGTATCAATTGATGAGCAGAAATCATGGTAATGGTTTTTGTTTTGCATTTCTTGTGTCTTGTTTAAGGAGAGTAGAGTCCAAAAGTTATCTCCCTACATTTCACTTAATTTCCTATCCATCTGGAGTTGACGTCTGTGCGTAGTGTAAGGTAGGCATCCTTTTCATTATTATTTCCTTACAGATTACCAATTTTTTCCAGTTATACTTGTTGAATAGTCTCTCCTTTCCACAGTGGAGTTTCTGCACTACCTCTGTCATAGACCAAAATTCAATATATTTGACTTTCTAATCTGTTCAACTGGTCAAAGTCTAAATATTATAAATGCTTCCTCTTCCTGATTAATACAAGGATCTCCATCCTACATTTGTAATTGTTGATATGTATGTTAATTCTATTCTTCTTTAACCCCAAAGACATTATTTCTATCTTACACAGTGTTCATTTTTTTTAAATTATTTACTCCTTTTTAAACCTCAGAGCTGCTAAGATCAGTTTCCTCCTGGTGGAAGTATATTCTATAGAATTTCCTTCAGTGATCACTTGCTGAATGGCAAAATCTGCTTTTGTTCGGTTGAAATGTGTTTATTTCACCTCATTCTTGAAAGGTAATTTTGCTGGGTATATAATTCCAGATGTGTAGAATTTTCTTTCAGCTCATTACGGTTACAGTCTCCCATTTTCTGCCAGTGGTCTAATTGCTATTTCCTTGAAGATAATCTATCTTCCCCCCTAGCTGCTTTTAAACTCTTTTGTTTGGGTTTTCTCCAATTTCATTGTGTTGCATTTGAGTGTGAATTTATTTATTTGGCTTGGAATTCCCTGGCCCCCAAAGCTCTGTAGATTAGTGATTTTCATCAGGGCTGGAAAGTTCTCAGCCATTACTTCTCATGTACAGTCCATGCCCATTTATTTTCTCTCTTCTCTTCTGGAACTTCAGTTAAACCATTTAAATATTCTCACACTGTCCTCCATGATTCTTAACCTTCCTCACTTGTTTCCCACCTTGTGTCTCCAGGCTGCAATCTGGTTAATCTCTTTTGAACTATCTAGTTCACTAATTCCAGTTATAGCAGTGTCTAACTTGCTGTTAAACCTGTCCACTGTATTTTTCATTTCAATTACTGTATTTCTTTCTTTCCAGAAGATCATTTTGTCTCTTTTCCAAACCTGCTAGATTAACTCTATAAATTCCTTGTCACTGTTTGTGATTATAATTTCCCATCGATGGGATTGCCTCCCTCCTCCTCCCTGCTCTGGTCAGTGACAACACCACTGTGTTTGCAGTGCCCTGGAGTTGGGTGGGGATTGGCCCATTCGCTTATTCATGCTTTCTCTGGTGCCTTGTCATACAGGGTCCTAACTTTATGGGCTCTTCTGAAGGCAGTAGGAGAGAAAAGCAAGAAGGGGACTTAAACTACTCCCCATCCTGGTCTTTACACCGCTAGCTGGCTGTCCTCTTCCTCAGATTGAACTCTTCTTTATGCACGGATTTACAATAGCCTGCAGGCTCCCTGGGTTTTCCTCACATGATTAAGCGTGTTGTTCCTCAGATCTAGGCTTCCCTCTGGCTGTCATGGTCTCTCCAGGGTTGAGGGCAGGGAGGGAGCCCGTGGCCCAGGTGGGTAGCCGTCTTGCAGCAGCATCCTCATACAGAAGGTGTCTCCACTAATCGATGTTAGTTAGAGTCATGCCTCAGGTTTATGGGGTCAACGAGGGGATGGGTGGGGTGTTTCTGACTTATTCCCAGGGAGGCAGATTTCTTCTTGACATATTTTTTTATCTGTTGTTTTGTATTTTCTTTTTCATTCAGTGCTCTGGCTGATGCAGCCACGGGGAAGAGAGTCTTGCACGTTCCCTACAGAGATTCTGTTCTGACCAAACTGCTCCAGCCAGCTCTGGGTGGGAACAGCAGAACGACTTTGGTAAAGTGACTCTCTGACAGCATGTGACACGGATTTAGCTGTTGCTGTTGTTGTCGCCGTTACTGTTACAATTATGCTTAGTGTGCTATGATGTCACACTTTGCTTTTACGTAGCACATTCTTACCTAGCTCATGACTCCTGGAACTCTTTTTTTTTTTTAATGTTTTATTGTTATGTTAATCACCATATATTACATAATTTGTTTTGGTGTAGTGTTCCATGATTCATTGTTTGTTCATAACACCCAGTGCTCCATGCAGAATGTGCCCTCCTCAATACCCATCACCAGGCTAACCCATCCCCCCACCCTCCTCCCCTCCAGAAACCTCAGTTTGTTTTTCAGAGTCCATCGTCTCTCATGGTTCGTCTCCCCCTCTGACTTACTCCCCTTCATTCTTCCTCTCCTGCTATCTTCTTCTTTTTCTTTTTTCTTAAAATATGTTGCATTATTTGTTTCAGAAGTACAGATCTGTGATTCAACAGTCTTACACAATTCACAGCGCTCACCATAGCACATATCTTCCCAAAGGCCATCACCCAGCCACCCCATCCCTCCCACCCCCGACCACTCCAGCTACCCTCAGTTTGTTCCTGAGATTAAGAATTCCTCATATCAGTGAGGTCATATGATACATGTCTTTCTCTCATTGACTTATTTCACTCAGCATAACACCCTCCAGTTCCATCCACGTCGTTGCAAATGGCAAGATCTCATTCCTTTTGATGGCTGCATAATATTCCATTGTGTATATATACCACATCTTCTTTATCCATTCATCTGTCGATGGGCATCTTGGCTCTTTCCACAGTTTGGCTATTGTGGACATTGCTGCTATAAACATTGGGGTGTACGTACCCCTTCAGGTCCCTACATTTGTATCTTTGGGGTAAATACCCAGTAGTGCAATTGCTGGATCGAACGGTAGCTCTATTTTCAACTGTTTGAGGAACCTCCATACTGTTTTCCAGAGGGGTTGCACCAGCTTGCATTCCCACCAACAGTGCAGGAGGGTTCCCCTTTCTCCACATCCCCGCCAACATCTGTTGTTCCCTGACTTGTTAATTTTAGTCATTCTGACGGGTGTGAGGTGGTATCTCATTGAGGTTTTGATTTGGATTTCCCTGATGCCGAGCGATGTTGAGCACTTTTTCATGTGCCTGTTGGCCATTTGGATGTCTTCTTTGGAGAAATGTCTGTTCATGTCTTCTGCCCATTTCTTGATTGGATTATTTGTTCTTTGGGTGTTGAGTTTGATAAGTTCTTTATAGATTTTGGATACTAGCCCTTTATCTGATATGTCATTTGCAAATATTTTCTCCCATTCTGTCGGTTGTCTTTTGGTTTTGTGGACTGTTTCTTTTGCTGTGCAAAAGCTTTTTATCTTGATGAAATCCCAATAGTTCATTTTTGCCCTGGCTTCCTGTGCCTTTGGTGATGTTTCTAGGAAGAAGTTGCTGCGGCTGAGGTTGACGAGGTTGCTACCTGTGTTCTCCTTTAGGATTTGGATGGACTCCTGTCTCACATTTAGGTCTTTCAACCATTTGGAGTCTATTTTTGTGTGTGGTGTAAGGAAATGGTCCAGTTTCATTCCTCTGCATGTGGCTGTCCAATTTTCCCAACACCATTTGTTGAAGAGACTGTCTTTTTTCCATTGGACATTCTTTCCTGCTTTGTCAAAGATAAGTTGACCATAGAGTTGAGGGTCCATTTCTGGGCTCTCGATTCTGTTCCATTGATCTATGTGTCTGTTTTTGTGCCAGTACCATACTGTCTTGATGATGACAGCTTTGTAATAGAGCTGGAAGTCCGGAATTGTGATGCCGCCAGCTTTGCTTTTCTTTTTCAATATTCCTCTGGCTATTCGGGGTCTCTTCTGGTTCCATACTAATTTTAGGATTATTTGTTCCATTTCTTTGAAAAAAGTGGATGGTATTTTGATGGGGATTGCATTGAATGTGTAGATTGCTCTAGGTAGCATTGACATCTTCACAATATTGGTTCTTCCAATCCATGAGCATGGAACGTTTTTCCATCTCTTTGTGTCTTCTTCAATTTCTTTCCTGAGTATTTTATAGTTTTCTGAGTACAGATCCTTTGCCTCTTTGGTTAAATTTATTCCTAGGTATCTTATGGTTTTGGGTGCAATTGTGAATGGGATCGACTCCTTGATTTGTCTCTCTTCTGTCTTGTTGTTGGTGTATAGGAATGCCACTGATTTCTGTGAATTGATTTTATAGCCTGCTACTTGACTGAATTCCTGTATGAGTTCTAGCAGTTTTGGGGTGGAGTCTTTTGGGTTTTCCACATAAAGTATCATATCATCTGCAAAGAGTGAGAGTTTGACTTCCTCTTTACCGATTTGGATGCCTTTGATTTCTTTTTGTCGTCTGATTGCTGTGGCTAGGACTTCTAATACTATGTTGAATAGCAGTGGTGAGAGTGGACATCCCTGCCGCGTTCCTGACCTTAGGGGAAAGGCTCTCAGCCTTTCCCCATTGAGAATGATACTCGCTGTAGGTTTTTCATAGATGGCTTTTATGATATTGAGGTATGTACCCTCTATCCCTATACTCTGAAGAGTTTTGATCAAGAAAGGATGCTGTACTTTGTCAAATGCTTTTTCTGCATCTATTGAGAGGATCATATGATTCTTGTTCTTTCTTTTGTTAATGTATTGTATCACGTTGATTGATTTGCGGATGTTGAACCAGCCTTGCAGCCCAGGGATAAATCCCACTTGGTCGTGGTGAATAATCCTTTTAATGTACTGTTGGATCCTATTGGCTAGGATTTTGGTGAGAATTTTTGCATCCATGTTCATCAAGGATATTGGTCTGTAATTCTCCTTTTTGATGGGATCTTTGTCTGGTTTTGGGATCAAGGTAATGGTGGCCTCATAAAATGAATTTGGAAGTTTTCCTTCCATTTCTATTTTTTGGAACAGTTTCAGGAGAATAGGTATTAATTCTTCTTTAAATGTCTGATAGAATTCCCCTGGGAAGCCATCTGGCCCTGGGCTTTTGTTTCTTGGGAGATTTTTGATGACTGCTTTAATTTCCTTAGTGGTTATAGGTCTGTTCAGGTTTTCTATTTCTTCCTGGTTCAGCTTTGGTAGTTGATACATCTCTAGGAATGCACCCATTTCTTCCAGGTTATCTAATTTGCTGGCATAGAGTTGCTCATAATATGTTCTTAGAATTGTTTGTATGTCTTTGGTGTTGGTTGTGTTCTCTCCTCTTTCATTCATGATTTTGTTGATTTGGGTCATTTCTCTTTTCTTTTTGATCAGTCTGGCCAGGGGTTTATCAATCTTGTTAATTCTTTCAAAGAACCAGCTCCTAGTTTCATTGATCTGTTCTACTGTTCTTTTGGTTTCTAGTTCATTGATTTCTGCTCTGATCTTTATTATTTCTCTTCTCCTGCTGGGTTTAGGCTTTATTTGCTGTTCTTTCTCCAGCTCCTTTAGGTGTAGGGTTAGGCTGTGTATTTGAGACCTTTCTTGTTTCTTGAGAAAGGCTTGTATTGCTATATACTTTCCTCTCAGGACTGCCTTTGCCGTATCCCAAAGATTTTGGACAGTTGTGTTTTCATTTTCATTGGTTTCCATGAATTTTTTTAATTCTTCTTTAATTTCCTGGTTGACCCATTCATTCTTTAGTAGGATGCTCTTTAGCCTCCATGTATTTGAGTTCTTTCCGACTTTCCTCTTGTGATTGAGTTCTAGTTTCAAAGCATTGTGGTCTGAAAATATGCAGGGAATGATCCCAATCTTTTGGTACCGGTTGAGACCTGATTTGTGACCTAGGATGTGATCAATTCTGGAGAATGTTCCATGGGCACTAGAGAAGAATGTGTATTCCGTTGCTTTGGGATGGAATGTTCTGAATATGTCTGTGAAGTCCATTTGGTCCAGTGTGTCATTTAAAGTCTTTATTTCCTTGTTGATCTTTTGCTTAGATGATCTGTCCATTTCAGTCAGGGGGGTGTTAAAGTCCCCCACTATTATTGTATTGTTGTCAATGTGTTTCTTTGCTTTTGTTATTAATTGCCTTATATAATTGGCTGCTCCCATGTTCGGGGCATAGATATTTACAATTGTTAGATCTTCTTGTTGGATAGACCCTTTAAGTAGGATATAGTGTCCTTCCTCATCTCTTATTAGTCTTTGGTTTAAAATCTAGTTTGTCTGATATAAGGATTGCCACCCCAGCTTTCTTTTGGTGTCCATTAGCATGGTAAATGGTTTTCCACCCCCTCACTTTCAATCTGGGGGTGTCTTTGGGTCTAAAATGAGTCTCTTGCAGACAGCATATGGATGGGTCTTGTTTTTTAATCCAATCTGATAGCCTATGTCTTTTGATTGGGGCATTGAGCCCATTTACATTCAGGGTAACTATTGAAAGGTATGAATTTAGTGCCATTGTATTGCCTGTAAGGTGACTGTTACTGTATGTTGTCTGTGTTCCTTTCTGATCTTTGCTGCTTTTAGGCTCTCTCTTTGCTTAGAGGACCCCTTTCAATATTTCTTGGAGGGCTGGTTTCGTGTTTGCAAATTCCTTTAGTTTTTGTTTGTCCTGGAAGGTTTTTATCTCTCCTTCTATTTTCAATGACAGCCTAGCTGGATATAGTATTCTTGGCTGCATATTTTTCTCGTTTAGTGCTCTGGTTATATCATGCCAGTCCTTTCTGGCCTGCCCGGTCTCTTTGAATAGATCTGTTGCCAATCTAATGTTTCTACCATTGTAGGTTACATATCTCTTCTCCCGAGCTGCTTTCAGGATTTTCTCTTTGTCTCTGAGACTCGTAAGTTTTACTATTAGATGTCGGGGTGTTGACCTATTTTTATTGATTTTGAGAGGGGTTCTCTGTGCCTCCTGGATTTTGATGCCTGTTTCCTTCCTCACATTAGGGAAGTTCTGTGCTATAATTTGCTCCAATATACCTTCTGTCCCTCTCTCTCTTTCTTCTTCTTCTGGGATCCCAATTATTCTAATGTTGTTTCGTATTATCGAATCACTTATCTCTCGAATTCTGCCCTCTTGATCCTGTAGTTGTTTCTCCCTCTTTTTCTCAGCCTCTTTACTTTCCATCATTTGGTCTTCTATATCACTGATTCTCTCTTCTGCCTCATTTATCCTAGCAGTTAGTGCCCCCATTTTTGATTGCACCTCATCAATAGCCTTTTTGATTTCAAGTTGGTTAGATTTTAGTTCTTTTATTTCTCCAGAAAGGGTTTCTCTAATAACTTCCACGCTTTTTTCAAGCCCAGCTAGTATCTTTAAAGTCATGATTCTGAACTCTAGGTCCGACATCGTACTAATGTCCGTATTGAGTAGGTCCCTGGCTGACGGTACTACCTCTTGTTCTTTTTGCTGAGGTGATTTCTTTCGTCTTGTCATTTTGTCCAGAGGAGAATAGATGAATGAGAGAACAAAATGCTAACAGGTTTACAATATCCCCAGCAAATATACTGTATACAAATCAGAAAAGACCTGAAACCAGGGGAAAAGAAAGGGAAAGAAAGAAAAAAGAAAGAGAAAAAAAAAAGAAAAAAAAGATAAAAACAAAAACAGAACGATACAAAAAAAGCAGAATGTGATTACATATGATCAGGCTAGTGCATAGATCAGTGCCACACACTAGATTTTGGGCGTATTTTGGTCTGTTAGAAAAAAGTGCCTCCTAAAATTTTAAAGGAAGAAAGACATATATGTACAAAATAGGGGTTGATACAATGAAGGGATAGAAGATGACTGTAAAGATGAAAATTATAAAAGATTTTATAAAAGGATTTGATAAGATAAGAAGTTGTTTGAAAAGAGAAAGAAGATTTAAAAAAAAAAAAAAGAAAAAAGGGAGAGAATGTGATCAGGCAGGAGACTAGAACAGAACCATACACTAGTGATTTAGGGTATATTTTTTATCTGTTAGAAGAAACTGTATCTCAAAATTTT